GCGGCTTTCTTGCTTAACTTTCTTCATCGACCAACGCCAGCGCACGTACTGTACGCTACCTGGGGGCATGATCTGTGCATACAGCTCTCACATTTGATCACCGTATCCCTGATACAGAGAGAGGATCGGGCCGCGAGACAACTTTTGCATATGGAGACGTGCTGCACGGTCACTGGCCCGTGGCAGAGTGGGCAGCACAAATAGGTAGCTAGAAGATGCAGTCAGTCGGCGACGCAAAACCGTCGTTTACATCTGGTACGAGCCGTACACAGGTGTTTGAAGTCTCTCACTTCTGGCGCAGGTCGGACAAGCTGACGCGCCGTGTTGCATCAAGTTGCAGATCTGCACCTACATATTGTACGCAAAATACCTCAGGAATGGAGTATTCCGGGGAAGGCGATGCTGTGGCAACGCGCATACAGTAAACGAACGGCGATGTCTTGGTACAGACAGTGTACCCTCTTTCGATTTGAGTTTCTGATATGTCGCGACGAAGTTACGACCGCGTCGGCCACCCACGTCAAGGTATTATCTCGCGATCAAAGACGATCGTCCTGCAAACACTGCGCTCGTGCAGTGTTCGTTATATATATATATATGAACGTGTTCCGCGTTATCTTCATTATGAGACAAATACTTCGCATACGTAGCACTACGCTTGAATGCGTGGGAGTTGGCACCAGCACTTGGTCGTTGGGAGTGAGCTGCGCACGGAGAGATCCATCCCGTGGTGGACCCCACTCGTTAGCGCAGGAAATGGGCCTGCTGCCTCTAAATTTTGCGCTTACGCCTTTACGATGGACTCCTGCGCAGAGCGAAGTTCAAGCCCTTGCTGACGTATGCAGCGTGTGCATCACGACAAACAACTGGGTTGCTACCGTGGTGTATCGATAGACAGATGAATGGATGGATAGCTGGATAGATGGATAGGATAGTAAAGGGCCCATCGTGGCCAGTTATCGGAATACAGAGACTAGGTGTTAACTTGCAGAGTTATAGGCGCTAGCCAAAGGGGATACACAAGGAGTTCTATCACTAGGGGATGGAACGACTGGTATCATTAGGTGTGTTAAGGTGTGCATCGGTTAGTTGATACTAGCCATGTACAATAAGACAACCTCCAAGGGTCGGCTGATGGAATATTCTCGAATATTCGAGATGCTGGGAATCCGGAAGCTGCCTTCCGGATATTTGTGGTGATGATGGCTGGACACTTGGAGACCTAGCCTCGTGCTTCTCACTCCTAGATAAGCTCTGGACTGAGCCCTTCACTATCTGCGTACTGCATGTGAACTGACCTGCCCATGTCATGTTCAACACTAGGCATACGCCACATTTCGCATCGAGACTAGTTGCGGCAACGACATGTAATCAATCGTCACATTCTTGTAGAGTGGCTGCAGGTCGCCGTCCACTTCGACAGGGACGTCCAAATGACGGCGCAAGCTCGCTTCCAACGCGTCGTGCAGAGCCGGGTTGGCCCGTTCGTCGGCCGTCAAGTGCGCCATGAGCGCAGACTTCATGATGACCGAGAAAAAGTTGATGACTGCCGCCACGTTCTCATACGGCATCTTCAGCGAGATCATCTCGAGCGCGGTCAACGCCAGCTCGGGCACGTCTGCGGTCGCCACATGCACTTCATCTTGGCTGCGGAAATAGAGCGGCAAACCGGCAGCATCCATGGCTGTAGGTGACACCAAGCCATTCGCGACAGCGTCAGTGATCCAGGCACCAAATGCCTTGTGCAAGATATCGGCGGTTGGGCTGTGGATCTTGGACACCATCGTGGTGCAGAGCACGCCGTTGTCACTGAGCTCGCATGCGCGCAGCTGGAGAAACCGCACCAAGTCGCTGTGGGCTGCCGTCTTCCACTGAAGCACCAGCGCGGG